GGAACTGGCCCTCCAACCGCAGGGCGGGACCCAGCAGGCAGGGGCGGCCCTGGCCCGGGAAGGGTCTGTGCAGGCCCGCGGCTTGTATGGTGTCTTCATGGTCACATCTTCAGGGTATTGAGCACACGTCCCATCCATGTTCTCGTGTCATCCTCACACGTCTTTATGCGCAGGAGTAAGTCAGCACCGGTGCCGGCCACCACGGCCATCGCCGGCATCGCCACGACCACCATCAGGGCCACAGATACCCTGTCCTTCCCCGAGGCGGCTGCAGCACCAGCACAGCCCTCCCGGGCCTGACCTGTGGGCTGGGCAGCTGTTACTGGGTCCCTGCAGCCACATGGCAGGTGGATGCCGCCCCACCCTGAGATGCGAGAAGGTGTGCATTCCACTGGGATGTCCTAACCCCGGAATGTCCCTTTCTGGGGAGCACGCTCACAGGCCTTTCCTCAGCAGCACGGGGGGCAGACATGGGTCTGCTGAACTGTTGCCTTTTTGTGGTAAAATTCATTAAAATGCAAGGTTGAATGCATTGTTAATTTTTTTTTTTTTTTTACTTTAATTCTTTGGGGAGGAAAGGAAGCCCAAACAAATGTCGTTCCTGCTGGACTGAGTCAGCATGGCATGCTATGAAGCATCTTGTTAAGTCACTCTGCTAGTCAGACTGACGCTTATACCATACATAGGGGTGCAGAGGGAGGGGGCACCACCCCCAGAGACAGGACACAGGGCAGAGCTCCTGGGCCTGGAGCCTTCCCACAAGTACAGATTGTAGACCCCACACTTTCCACCATAGTCACGACTTCAACCATCCCTGCACCCGCCTTTCCAATAAATACATTCTTACGTGTCATCCCATGTGGCTTACATTTTTGTTTGTAAAACACGGTCAGCATCATAATACCCTTCCTCGTTATGTCCTTGGAGGGATTAACAGATGGCAGGTTCTCTCATTCCTGGGAGCAATGTGGGGAGGAACACAGTGGGGCTCCTTGCTGGGTGCCCTGCAGCTCAACCAGCCACATGAAGGACTGGCTACTCTCCAGCCAGGAGGCATGTTGGGCCTGGAGGGGCTGGCCTGTTGGGGGGTATGGTTGGAACTGATAGCCCTGTGATGGTTAATTTTAGGTCAATGTGGCTGGGCCACAGCACCCAGATATTTGGTCGAACACTAGTATACATGTTCCTGGAATAGTACTTTTTAGATACAATCAACATTTAACTCAGTAGACTTTGAGTACAGCAGATTGCCCTCAATAGTGCAGGTGGGCTTTGCCTAATCAGTTGAAGGGCTTAACAGAAAGGACTGAGGTGCCCCGAAGAGGAAGGAATTCTGCCTCCAGGATACCTTCAAACTCAAGACTGCAACATCAACTCCTGTGTGTGTGTTTATACAGACATATACATACACACACACACACACACACACACACACACCCTGGAGACACTAGCATGATCCCTGACTATTCCATCGCACCCTCCGCTGTTTAAGGTGCACTCATTGCGAACAGCCCCAAGGGCGTAAGCACACATGGGCTACTTGCTCACTGCCTCCCCCCTTGTTACCTTATTCTTGGCAACTTTTCCATGACCATAAGATGGGATGTGTTTTTCTCTGCTTTGGAGTTTTTTGTTTTTATTGGCAGTGGTGGAGCTGTTTGGGGGTGGGGGACCTTCCCGATCTGGTCAAGGACAGTCATGAAATCACACCCTCCCAGGGACAAGCTGTGATCCTGGCCGCCTCCGCAGGAGCAGGAACTGCATTTGCCCAGGGCACCTTTGGCTCCTCTTGGGGACACGGACTCTGGAGAATATGACAGAAGTTACGGGCAACATCTACAGAAAACTCCACGTCCCCACACACGTTTGCAGGGGTGTGCAGGCCTCTGGAGGGTATCCACGCTTCCCAGAACAAGAAGCCTCACTTGTGGGAGAAAGCATTGCAGGCTAGAACCTCAGGGGCAGCAAAGGTGAGGAAGGCTCATCGGGCACAGGACCTCCACAAACAAATGTCAGCCAGCATCACTGAGCCCCTACAACACACTGGGTGCTGGCAGAAAGGCTGACCAAGCTCAGGTCTGGAGAAGTAAGCAGGAGAAGGCGGCAGAGCTAGAGAACCTCAGCTCTTAGATCAGAAGATACTGCAAGGAGTAACTGGCCTCTCAAGCCTTATCCAGATGCTAACTTTCCACATGAGCTGCAGAATGCACATCGGCAACAGCCACCAACGCTCCTCCTGGAAAAACTCCCCATGTTCCTCCTGCGGCTTTCAGGTCCTTACGCGTAGCACCAGCCATTCACAGAATGCTTGCAAACTTGAAATATCCTTCTGAGACACAGCAGGATTGTTGAGCCCATCTGCACGCAATGGGCTGGGCAGTAGGAAGCAGACACCCAGCACTCAATCACCCAGAGCTCAAGCCTCAATGCAGGCATGAGGATCGAGGTGCCTGCAGGCTCCCAGGGCAGCCTGCAGCAGGGACTGGATGCGCATCACACCCAGGAGCAGTTTCAGCAGACCAGCAGGGTCTGTGGAAGAAGTGGGGTGACAGCTAAGAGAGAAGGAGTCACTCCAGAAGTGTGGGTGTGACAGGAGGGAGGGGGGCAGACAGAACCTGGAAAAGACCTCACTCATTACCCTCTATGGTGTCCCTGCACACAATTCTGTAATTTTTCAGATCCTTCCATTCCTCGCAAGGCCCACGGTTCCTGTTTGTAGAGCCCATTTCTCACACTGCAATCTTGTCCAAGATGTCTTAAAGAGAATGAATGGACCTGTCCACATGTCTACAGAGAATTTTAGGAAGGAAGGAAAGAGTAAGGAGAGAGAAAAAGGGGGAAAAGGGGGGAAGGTGAGGAAGAGACAGGCCCTGCAGAGAAACCTCCCTCACAGGATGATTCTGCTGCCTTACTTCAAAATGCTCAAGTCTGGCTGTGGTCATTTTTGTTTCCCCAAGCAGCTCACGGGACTCGCAAACACTATGTTTAACCCTCCTTGCCTAGAGTTTGAAATGAACAGGTCAGGGAAGGGAAAGAGAGGTCAACGAGCTGAGGGGAGCACCGGCAAGTCGGCAGTCCTGGAAAAAGAGCTGCGTGGCTTCATCTCGGGCCACCCAAGGCAACATGAAATTATGGGACAGGATTTCAGACAGATGACAGGGTGTTCACTTAACCTTCACATGCATCTCAAGCGACCACTTCCTCCCAAGCAACCCCCAAGCGCAGGGCTTGGGGAGAGGCAGAAAGCGAAGGTGGTCTCCGGACCCGCTCTTCCCTCCTCTCCTCTCTCTGCTGTCCCCCACCCCTGCCCTGATTTGGTTGGCTTTGCTTTTTATCCCTCTAGATTGTCACCTTGGGATTCTAACCAAGGTAAGACTCAGTCCTGCTGTTGGCTGCCCTGGGTCCTGGGTAGCTAATTTGGTCAGACCACAACGCCAGCAGGATAAGAAACAAGACAAGTGTCAGGGTAGTGGGGAAACTGACGCCGACAGCTGTGGAAGAAAAGAGGGCAACCGATGGCAGCTTGCTCAGATGCGCCCCCAGGAGTCACATCCTCTTCCCCAGGCCCAGGGGGCTGCCATGCTCCCTGCTATGGGCTGGCTGTGTGCACAGGAGCCTGACGGGACACAGCCCAGCAAGCAGTTCTGCCCTCAGGACCAGCTGCATCATTTGTGAGGCCCAGGTTAAAATGCAGATGTGAAGCCACTGGTTCAAGAAGCATTGAGAATTTCAAGATAGTGACAACAGAGCATTAAACTGAGCACCGTCCTCTTGAGCCTGGGGCCCTGTGCAGGCTACTCAGGGAAGCCAGGCCTGGCTGCCATTGTGGCATAAAGGGGTGACTTTCCAGACCTATCCCAGCCTTGTAGGTGCTTAAAGGTGCATCACCTAGTCTGAAGACGTTTACCAGCCTTGGCACCTTGCTCCCCAGGTGTCCATGAGGCACAGCAGGCACATGAGCCCCACCGACGCTGTCACCCAGAGTGCTCGGAGGTGAAATGCCTCGAGGGTGAAGACCACGAGGGGCATGAACCAAGATGGCTCCAAACACAATGGCAAAGCAGCCCTTGCTGGCCAAGTGTTCCCATTCACAGGCAACTCCTCAGAGTCCCTAGTGGGTTGCAAGAGGGAGTCCGAAGAGACCCCATGCGCACCTGGAGGATGGAATGTACAGACGTCTGGTGCAGGCCCTGATTCAGGAGCGGGCGCGGAGGCGCCCAGAAGGCTGGGGCCCGGAGCAAGGCCCGGCCCTCCTCGCTGTCTGCAGGACGGGGTTTCTCCAGAACAGTGCCTGAGCTGAGTGAGCGGACGGGGGTGCCAGCTGCCCTCTCCGTGGCACCAGAATGGGCTGACTCTCTGGTAAGGCTGCCCCCAGGACCAGTCAGGCGGCACTGCCTTGGTCCCACAGTAAGGGAGTTCTTAGGGGCAGGAGGGGTGGTGGGGAGGTCATCTGTGGCAGGGGCAGTGGGCGGGAGTGGGCGACAGGGGCTGGTGGGTGCCAGCCCATGGGAGGAAAGGAGCCTGTGGAAGCTTCCCGGGGCTGGACAGGTTCCGCCAGGCCCTGCCAAGCCCACCCTTTGTGCTCCCTGGAGAGCAGGCAGCTTTCAAGGAATTTGAAACTCATGGGGCCTGGCAGGGTCAGGAGGGGAGGCAGGCCCACTTAGCCCCTGGGGCAGGAGGTAACCTGTGGGGCTTCTTCCATCTCAGAGGGTCTCTCAGGTGTCTAATCCCTCTGGCTGGCTCACTTCACTCCGAGGGAGGGCTCCCCTTCCACCGGATCAGAAACTCTGGGACTGGGCTTCTCCTGGGCCAGGCCCTAACCGGGATGGGAGTCACACCCCTGACAGCAGACCAGACGTGGGCTGGCCAGAGACCCCAGCAAGAGCTGCGGGCTGTGCCAGGACAGGCTCTGGGCTGATGTGGCTGCAGGGCAACAGGTCCTCTGGAGAGTGAAGAAGGGGGCCTGGACCCTCCATCCCATTCCCAGAGGACTGACTCACTCAGGAGTGTTGATCCAGATGATGTCCAGGTGGCAATAGTAGACGCACTCCTTATCCTTGTAGGTGAAGCACGTACAGCGCCTGGCTCGGTGGTGCACAGGGCCCCCCTTGGGCACCTGCTCCCCAAACTGACCTGGTCCCTGTTTTTGCCCAGGGCCTCCAGGACTTTTCTGCACTGCAGTCATGGCCTCAGTCTCCTTCATGTCCCCCTCAGATCTGGCTGCAGGGGTGGCCCCGTGTATGCCGCTCCCGCCAGCTTCCCCAGGCTGGGGGTGAGGCATCAATCCTGCAGGGGGCAGATTGAGGAGCTCCTGAGTGTGCAGGCCCCAAACACAGACATGCACCATCCCCAAAATCCTGGGGGAGGGGGACAACCAAACTCCCTGCAAAGTTTGCAATCCAGTTGTACTTTGTGTAGTCTCTGAGCTCTGCCAAACTTTCTGCAAAGTTTGCAAAGCTATGTGCAGTTTCAGAAAAGTCTGCAAGTTAAATGCATACTTGGCGAAAAGCTTGGAAGCTATTTTCACTGTGTGCAAACTCTGTAAACGATTTGCACCCATTGAATAAGTACACGCATTTTGCACACTTTCTGAAAACTTTGCAACCGTTTTTGCAGTTTCTGACCGGTTTGCATACTTCCTGGAAAGTTCCCAACGTCATGAAACATTGACCAAGTCCGCGCCGGGGCTGCAGGTCTCCAGCCTGCGTCATCTGCAACCTCCAGAGCCCCCGGGGCAGCTCATGAGCTCCGCTGCTGACCCCAGCCCGCCCCCAGGCGCCTCCAGGGGTGGTGAGCCCAGGCGCGAGGCTGCTCCCCGCAGTGCGCCCGCGCCCGCGCCCCCCATCCCGGGGTCCTTTTGTGTGCGCTCGCGCCAGGAGAGGCGCGCCGTCCTGCCCGCTTACCTGCGGCGGAGGTTACTGCGAGCCCGAAAAGGAGACACAGTCCCGGCTCCATGAACCCCGATCAAGCACTGGAGCCCCGGGCCTGGAGGACGGACGCCTGTGGCCGCGAAAGGGCGCTCGGGCCGGGCACCGCTGGCCTCGCCTTCCAGCTGCGGGGCTTGCAGGGCGGCCTCTCGAGCTGCGGCCAGGAGTTGGCTGCGGCGGTCACAAACTTGAGAGCGCGCTGCCCATCCCTGCGCAGGGCGGCCGGCTGTGGCTCGGGCTTTTCTGGCTCCCGCACCACCTCTCGCCTCCCCGCCTCCCGGAGGGGCTGGAACTGGCGCTCGGGCCTTTGAACCCGGGGCGCACAGGGGGTCGCCTCCCAGCGCGGGGGAGCCGGCCCGGAGCGCGCGGCCCGCGGCGCACCCAACAGGGCGAGGGGTGGGGCGGGGCGGAGCGGGGCCAGCAGCGGAGGCCACGCGCGCACCCGCACTCCGCATACATACATATGCACACGCACGCGCGCTCACACTCAGAGCCCGCGCATTGCTGCCCCAGGACTGCAGCCCTCGCCCCCAGAGCCGGACAGAGATAAAAGGCTGCACACGAAGGTTGCTATCTTTTATCTTAGGGTCTCCAGGAAAGCAACATTTCTCAACGCTCACCTAATGACACCTTATCCTTGCACAGACCTGCCTGACAAGGTCCTGGGCGTACTTTACACTCGTGACTCACGGGCACTGGCTGTCTGCCTGCCTCTCCCAGGAGCTCAGTGCCGGTGGGTGTGGACAGTGGCCCGGAGCAAAGTCAACCAGGGAGCAGGTTAGCGGTCCCTGGATGTCCCAGATGTGCTCACAGCCCCCATGCAGGGCAGGCTCCCTCCCAAGGCCCAGGGAGCCCCTTGGTTTCCCTTGTGGACTTCCCAGCCCAGCTGGGGAGGCTCTCGCAGCTCACCTGACCCTTGCCTCCTGCACTGAGCATCACCAGAGACCAGCGTGGGTTCCGTTTGTTGTTACCAACACAGTCTGCACTGAGAATGGTGCCCTGGCACCCGAAGTGACACCTGACTTCGGCCAGATGATTTGCAGATGAAGGGATGAGGGGATGAACAAATGCTTCCCACAGACTAGGCCCTGGCCTTCTGATTTCTGAGAACCCCAGGAAGCCCTGAGAGGCCCTCCCTTATCCGAGGGAAGGCCTGTGAAGACAGGCGCGCTCCGGGAGGCACGGGCAGGTCCCCCCACGCCACTCTCACCCTATCAGTCAGCACGGAGTGGACTGCATTGGAGCTGGCCTTCCCAGGACACCACAGGGAGTCACAGGCCACATGGAGGAAGACTGACAGTCTGAGGCCCTGGAGTTGCCCCTCACGTCTCAGGACACTTGTTGTCAACTTAAAACATGTGCACAAATCCTTTGACATTCTTCCCATAAAAGGTGGAGTTGAATACCACACCCTTGAGCCTCAATGACCCACTTCTGAATAAATAGAAAGCAGCAGAAACGACAGGAGTTATAAAAGGTCGGAAAGCCTCCACCTGGTTTTGTCTGGGGACACTTGTCCTCTGAAAAAAGCCATTGGGCCAGGAGGTGGCCAAGCAGGCCTACACAGAGAGGTCACGCGGAGTGAGTGACATGGAGGGTGACGGAGACCTGGCAGCCAGCAGCCAATACCAGCTAGAGACGTGAGTGGCCTTGAGGGGGTCAGAGCCCCCAGACATAAGACTTCCAGATGAGTGCCAGCTGCCCGGCCTGAATCCAACCAACGGAGCCCAGGAGCACAGTAAGCAGTTGTCTTACACCAGTCACTTGGGGAATTTGTTACAAAGCTGTAGCAACTAAAAAAGTAGTCAAACCCGCAGAATTAAGCTGCTGTGTAAGTTTCTCCTCCACCCCCCGCCCCAGGCCCACTTCCGTCCTGCCCAGTCCTTGAGTCCAAGTCAAGGAGTGGAGGGTGAAAGACGCCATCCTGGAGGGGCAGTTGTCACCAGGCAGATCAAACGTGCTGTAGGGGCCTTTGCTTCATTTGTTTGCGCTCCATGCTTTGAAAATTAGAAATCCCACAACCAGGATTATCTTCTGTTCCTGTTGAGCTGGAATTTCTATCATTTCATTATCACCTCTTTCCCTGGAATTAAAATACCATCACCTACAAAATAAAAATCTCTTGCTTTGATCAGGGGATGGCTGGAGAAAGAGCAAACACAGCCATAGCTAAAAAGAGAAGCAGGGTAAAGGCCGCCTCCTGGTGCTGTCAGAGCGCCACTGGGCGCGTGCCTCCTGCAGCCTGCGCCGAGCCCGGCACACCCTGGGGAGCCCCCCAGGCGCCCGTGGCCAGGAAGGCCAGCACGGTGCTGGCCCTGCCTTGCCCTCAGCCTTCTAATCTAGTTGCGAGAAGCAAGTCCAGGGCTAAAGAACCAAGCGTACAGGGTGCTGGGAACAGAACTGAGAAAAGAAGAGCACATGGTCAGCTGGGCAGTCGGAGGCAGGATTTTACTTGGTCCTCACAGCAACCTGAGCACGGTGACTGGAGGAGGTGCCGGCGACACCAGCCAGCACCCCCCTCATGCGGGAGCAGCCTCTGCCTTCCTGCCCTTCCCCAGGTCATCTGAGCCTCCTGGGGAACACGAGACTGGGGGTGTCTTGGACTCTCCAACACTCTCCCATTTTGTGCTAAGAGGGAGCAGACCACAGGCTTAGAGCCTTGGGCAGGATATTTTTTCCCATTTTCTTTAATTGTGATAAAATACATGGAACAAAATTTACCACCATAGCCACTTTTAAGTGTACAATCGCATAGTATTAAGTACATTCATACTGTGGAAACATCGCCGCCACCCGTCCAGAGCTCTTTCACCTTCTAAGACTGAAACCCCGTCCCCACTAGACACTGACCCCCATTCTCTCCTTCCCCAGCCCAGGCACTCACCACGCTACTTTGAATCTGTCTCTACAATTCTGACACCTCTGAGTACCTCATATAAAATGGAATCATATAGTGTTCCTTTTTTTTGATTAGCTTATTTCACTTAGCATAATGTCCTCAGGGTTCATCCACGTTGTGTCAGAATCTCCTGCCCTTCTAATGCTGCATAGTATCCCGTTGTACGGATGGATCACATTCTGCTTATCCACTCACCTGTCAATGGGCATTTGGATTGTCTCCATGGTTTAGCTATTATGAATAACACAGCTGTGAACATGAGTGTGCAAATATCTCTTTGAGACCCTGATTTCAATTCTTTGGGAAACATACCCAGAAGTGGAATTGCTGGATCATACGGTCATTCTATTTTTAATTTTCTGAGGAACCTGCGTACTGTTTTTTCCACAATGGCTGAACCATTTGACACTGTGTATTTTATATTCCCACTAACAGTGCCCAAGGGCTCCAATTTCTCCACATCCTTACAAACGCTTGTTGTTTTCTGTTTGTTTGTTTGTTTGTTTTAATAGTAGCCATCCAAATGAGTGTGACGCGGTATCTCTTTGCAGTTTTGGCTTGCATTTCCCAAGTGATTAGTGATCTTGAACATCCTTTCATGTGCTGCCTTGGAAAATCCGAGGCTTGGGCTTGGACCTCTTGTGGTTTGGTCCCCCGAGCTGGGTGTGGGGGAGAAGGAGGACAGGGAAATCACGGGTGGGCGGACAATCAGTGCTGCCAGCACCCTCCTGTTTCTGCTGGGCTGTGTCCACTTAACGTGCACTGGTTGATTTGTTAATCACCACTTTCAGGCCACTGTGGGGACGGCTGTTTTGCCCACCCATGTACCCCTTCTTTCGGGCCACAGCGCTTTGGTTCTTCTCTGTCGTGTGGTCGGGTGGGTCTGGGACTCCACGGTAGGCTTCTCACTGAGATCTGGCCAACCAATAGATGCCGCCCACTCGGCCACAATGACCAGTTCAGGGCTGGGCCGGGTTGGACAAATCAGCGTCCATCCCAGGACTTTTGCTAAACCACTGGAGAAAAAAGTCTTTATCACTGGGATTGTGGAGAAGAAAGGAAGTGTGCCTAAAGCTACTGGCAGCCATCTTGCCGCCACGAAGCAAGAGCATAACTGAGGGTGGACCCAACACAGAGGAACATGGAGTCAGGACCTGGAGAGACTGGTGGGGGGGGGGGGTGTCTTGGTTTTAATCACTGTTTTTCCCTTGTGACAATTCCACAAGACTTGTACTATCATTATCCCCATTTTATAGATGAAAACCTGAGGTTCAAAAAGGTTAGAGTGACCAGTCCATGGTCATACAGCTATTGAGTGGCAGTGTCAGAATTCAAATTCTGTTCTATCCAATTCCAGGGACAGAGATCATAACCATCAGGCAGGGCTGCTCTCCGACTCTTACCCTGGGTTCATAATCATGCCCATTTTCTTCTCTGTATCACTGAGTCATTGCCTCTCCGTCTGTCTAGCTCCCTCTTCCCCACATGCTCTGATGGAAGGTAATGCAGAGCAATGGACACCACATGCTTCCTCTGCAAAGGACACTCATAAATGGTCCTTCTCCCCCTCTAAAGTTTGCCAGCACTCCTTGATCGTTCTTTGCTGCCTCTGCCATCATCTGTGCCCCTAAGTGACATATCAGGATACTTCTGGGCCTTAGCCAAGTGAATGGCTGGGTTGTTGTTTATTTTTCATCAACTTTTTCCAAGCTGGCAAATGTGCAGCTGTATCCTTGAGACTGTACCTCTCACTCAAATTTTCATTCAAAATCCAGCCATTAAGAATATTGTGATTCATCTGGATAAGCGTCCCCTCAAGTTGCCCCTTCATGTGCTTTGTGACTCTTTTGAAGATTGTTTTCCCTTAAGTTTAGGGGATTTAAGTGAGAGTAACATAATACACGATGCAGTTTTCCATTATCCTGAGCTTCCTCCTCCCATCCACCCTAATCAGCGGAAACCCCGGATTTGTTCAGAAACCAGATAATTAACTGCTTTCCCATGTTGTCCAAGTCTTAGCTGTGCACCTCCTCACCATCACGTGGCTCATGGTAAGTCACTGGAGAAGGGACTAGGCTCTAAATTCCTTGCTTTAAAAGTAACATAAATCATATATGAAGTTCTCACTCAAATAAAATTATCAAAGTGTATTTCCACCTTCAGTCTTGCCAATGACATGCTCACTAAGAGAAATCGGTTGATGCCCAAAAGGAACGTGACAGTGAGTCTGACAAAATTGTAAGAGCTCTGAACTCCCTTCCTGTGCTTTCTGTTGCGGCCACTTGCTATTGCCCCTTTGACGTCCTGTTCCTCCAGGCGTGGTATGGACTCTCTCTCTCTGTCTTCCTTGGGGGAACCACCTCTCCCCACACTCTGTGTGGTTTGGGTGGGGCTTTAGGGCCAGACCTATGTTTCTGGAGTAACCAGTCAGAGCATCACATTGCCTCTGAGATGGGCAGATCTCCAGAATTATAAGACAATACATTTGTGTTGTTTTAA